ATTCTGAGCATAATAGTGAATCTTTTCAATTCGACGAAAGCGTATTGTTCGTGGCTCGCTCGCTTGAACATGTGGAATATCTCATTGCGTTCCAATGGCCGAACACCACAACTGGCTCTCAGTAATACTCTATACATGTTTTTTTTTAATAATTCTTAATACGATGAATTTTTGTGGTTACGTTTATACAGGCACAATAATTTGTTTCTTACCAACCTAGCAGTAACCCTACGTTCTAAATAAGAGGTTTTGTTGGTATTGTTGATCGAACATTTTTGTATTAAGAATAACCAATGACGTGTTTTTTTTAAATTATTGTTATTGTATTGTGTTAGGTGAAGAAATAAAAATAAATTTTACGACATAACAGGTTTATTGTTGCTTACAACAGCGCTAGACAACTGCCCGAGTTAACTTGGCTCAAAATAAAACCTAACTCACAGAACATCAGTGTAAAATAGCAGCTTTAATGCTGCTGTGTTTCGTATGGTGAGTGTAGAGAACCTGAGACCGTTTTTAATGGAAAAGAGGCATTCCATCTTAGTTCTCACGACGGACAACGCATCTGTATTTTGATTTGCAAACGAGGATAGATGTATATGTCTATGGGCCACAGCAACCACTTACTATCAAGTGGACTGTGTGCTCGCTTGTCACCCTTATCCTATAAAAAAGAAACTTTAACAGAGTTGATAAACCTACTACAAACGCGTATGTTGTGGATGCAGGTGGCTCAGGACCGTGCTTTGTGGCATTCCCAGATAGCCTATGTTCAGCAGTGGACTAGTGAAAGGCTATAAAGATAATGAAGGTTTCAACGCGTGGCGATCAAGTGTCTTTAATCAATTTTGTTATAGTAAGATTGTACATTTTTAGTAAAAATATAAATGGCATCATGTAGCCCTATACTACTAGTATATCAAAACAATTTCTGATTTTTTTTATTTCACAAATGCATGCCAATCGAGGTATTAATAAAAATGACCAAATATCAATTATATATTATCATGAATAAGCAACTTACATCACCTCACACGGAATCAAGGTAAGGATTTAGTCACAGTATGTTCAAAGCAAAGCCCAAGACAAATATTTTTCTAAGTAAATCCGACAAGCAAAGCAAATGGAACGGCCGTATCATAATCCTATTAGAAACCTACACGAGTTTAATAAAGCGTTAAGCGGAACAAAACCAAAAATTAAATTCATAAGATTATTACCAAAAAGTTAATTTTATACCGTGAATTAGAAGTAAGTTAATTCTATAGCATCAAAACTATTATACTATACACTCACTTAAATCTAAAGATATTGGCTAATAGCTCGACATAATTTCAAATCACACAAACCTCACACAAATTGCCAAAACTTTTAACTTGATCCTGAGCCACTGCACACATACTTCGGCTTACTGATCAGATGTTGATGTTTGTTAATTACTCTTGTTCTGCTGCATTTATCATCATTACGGATTTGATCGCGCAGAGAAACCTGAACTTAAACAGCCGACTTCATTGCTCATAGTGAAGGATGACGTTTTATATTTTTATTCATAGACATCTAAATCTATCCTAGATTTCGAATCAAAATTTAAATGCGTTGTCACCCGTGAGGAGTAAGGTGCAATGCCTCGTTTCCAGTAAAAAGAGTCTCCGTTTCTCTACACTCACCATACGAAAAATAGCAGCGTTAAGATGCTATTTTAAGCTGATATTCTGTGAGAGTGTGGTCCTTCCCCGGTCGAGCCGACCTATTCGCAACTATACCAGTAATATAACTGCAGTATGGTTTTACCACATAATAAAATCGTGTTGGTGCCTTGAGCCATTATTGACAACAATTTTAAGATTTGAGGTATATAGAACGAGAAGACAGGTCTTAATTTTCCTGTATAAGAATAACCACTACCCCATATCATTACGTGGGTGTTGTAAGAGGCGACAGCGGGAAACAAATCTGGAGATGGGCAGCAGCGCCTTCCTAAAAACGACTGTAAATGAAAAACTGCGGTTGGCAAATACATCCCCATATGAGAAAATCTATGGGGCTTATGTTCAGCAGTGAAATCTAATAGGCTGTAACGGCGGCTAAAAATTATTTTACTTTCCAAACACCCGCCCAGCTCAGCCGAAATGAGTTCGTCGGTTGACATCATTAATGGAAGTAAATTCACAATTAATTAAGCTAGTACGCTAATTAGAAGTACTACTTGTAGAAATACTAACGTAGATGGACTTAGCTAATCAGACACTTTGTCCAACGTAGTTAGTATGAACGTTACACTCATTCATTAAAAACTTCAAGGGTTGTATTTCTGATAACTACCACAATTGTTTTTTCCACTGGAAGTTAATCAACAAAGACAGTAGGATATTCCGTTGGTACAGAGTGTGCAGAAAGATTTGTTTCATAATGTCCATAGTGACCAAGATCAGGCAAGCTTTTTAGCTGTCCCGACTAAAGAATCTAGTCACTGGCCACACGCTTTACCATCAAGTAATCTCGGCGCATTACTTGATGTGGAAAGCTTGCGCATCGCCGTTGGAATCTGACTAGGAGCGGCCCTTTGTCAACTCCATCAGTGCCCCTGTGCCAGCAACGTCGACAAGTTTGGGCTCCACGGACTTTCATGTAAGAAAAGTGCTGGTAGGTTTTCAGGGCATGGTCCTTTGAACGATGTCATCCGAAGAGCTCTTGTCTCTATAAATGTTCCCTCGGTTTTAGAGCCTTGTGGAATATTTAGAGACGATGGCAGTAGACCCGACGGTATGACATTGAACCCTTGGAAGGGAGATAAAGCCTTAGTGTGGGATGCTAGACACTTTGGCGGCCTCTCATCTCAAGGGTACCTCGTTTAGAGCCAGGGCGGCATCAGAGGCAGATGAACTGAGTAAATGGCGCAAATATGAGTCTCTGAGAGATGACTACATATTTGTGTTTGTGCCATTTGCTGTAAAGACTATCGGCCTGTGGGATCCACGTGCGCTTAAGTTCCTAAAGGTACTTTATCCGTGCCTGGTCTTTGCTGCTGATGATAAGAGGGCTGTTTTTTTCTCGCTCAAAGGCTAAGTATAGACATTCAGCGAGGAAACGCAACCAGCGCTCTTGGCACATTATCACGAGGATTAGGACTGTATGATAATTAAGTTATTAGTTTTAGTTTTTTTGTATTATAGTTTTTTAATATTGTATATAATAAAATATTGTATATTATATTATATATTTAATTAAATTGTTTTGTCCATGTTCATCTTAAGACGAGTAGAACGTTGCGAGATACTACGCTTTAGTATACATTGAGCAAGTACATACTAATATCTTCCACTGGCTAATAAATAGTGTCTTTATATGCCGTTTAAACAATTTTTACTCACAGCATTCAGATCGATAAAGTAGATGCGGGTGTGTTACTTACTCGTATATCCCAAAGGAAAACAATAGCGCCCACACCAAACGAAAAGTTTGTTTTTCATCAATTCTTCATTAATAACAATTATAGGGCAATCAAGTCCTCCACAAATTGGAAGCCATAAAAGTCGAGTCGATAAATTACTTTGATAATTGCCGACTTGAAATAAGGTCTACTTTCGTTTGGTATAGAATAACGAGTTTGATTTTACAATTAAAAATTACATTATTGTAAACGCAAATAAGGCTAATTACTAGTACGTGTACAGCGCGAGCGGCATTAATTTTATTGCTAAAGGAGAAATTTGGAATAATAGCATCTTCATTACAGTAGTTTTCGAATCCGAAAACCTGGTAGCAACTTATATACGTATGTTGTTACAGTTACATAATAATTAAAACACTGATCGTGGTAAGAATGATAGTGCATATCCCATTAATACTAACACTAATTCATAGTGTTGTTTGTTTATAAACAACTCATAGCCACAGGAATCTCCTTCCATATAACTATATACTTGTAAAGGATGTTAGGTTCCTCCTTAATTTAAGTAGAACATCTTACTTCGTGTCCGTGTAATAGTTAGGCGATATTTAAAAAAAACTTAAATTTTTGATTTGATTGGCATCCACATCCACACATTTTTAACGATAATATATTTTAAGAACTACATATTAAAGTTTACATTGGTATATGAGCTATTCCGCCTATGAGTAAAATAACAAGATCAGCAGCAATTGTGAAGACACATCTACGAAAAATAAAAACTCTGCCCGCTTTCTTGCATTACACTTGCACGACACCATCTATCCACGACACTGTTTAACTACTAATGTACTTTTTATCTATGATGGATTAACGTTAATAATTATGAGAAAATGTATCCTTTTTTAGGTTTAACTATATCATTATAAAACATTATTTAATATTTAACATTACACACCACCATTGAAATAGTCGTACCAGTACTTTGTACCCATCCTTCAGAATATTAATCATAACTTTTCATATAATTAACCGATTTTAATAAAACGAAGACTAAATGTAACCGCGAAGATACGCTTTATAATTTTCTTAAAGATTCTTTAGAAAAACATTATTACTTTAGACGTGATGCGTTCATAAAAAAATTAGCCTTTAGCAGATAAAGGAAGGCTAAACTGAAACTTATGTTTAGGCTATTTCTAATTCAAATCATATAAGTTGTTGTTGGCATAAAATATAGTTATCGTGATGTTTCACACGGGTATTTACACTAGCGTTAGCATTTCTAATCAAATTAACGCGTATTGCTTTAATACTTTACACTTTCTATGTAAATAAGTCAACATTACAATCCCTCGTGCATAGTCAAAGCTATTAACAAGGTGTCTCGGACAAGTTGCACTTTATGGTTGCCTCTACGCCAATAATTATTTCCTATAAAAGAATTAACAACTATACCCACAGTAAAGAAATATCCCCAAAACCTTTCATTGAATTATTAGTTTCTTTTATTGCAACTTACACTAACTTCAATGGGATAATTGTCAGACCTAAAATAAACAATTCGATAATCTCTTTTTCAGATGTTTGCTGTGTGATATGCGACATGACAAAGGACAGCTACGAAATGGACTCTAATCGAATAACAAGAGGTGGATCTCTCTTTGGTAGCGATCCCCAAATACAACTCAGAAAAGCTCTGAAGAACAATGACTACGTGACATTTAAAAAGATCGTCAGCTATGGTGCAGTGGATCTCGAATATGTTTATCCATATCCAGATTACAAAACATGCCTTGAACTTGCTTTATCAGAAACAGATAGAAAAGAGTTTGTAAAGCTTCTACTGCAGCATGAAGTCCAAATCAACAAAGTGAATGAAAAAGACGGTAAAGCTCCTATACATTTAGCTGTCGAAAATGGAAATCTTGAAGGACTAACGGCTTTATTAGAAGATGACAGAATTGATGTTAATATTAAATGTAAGGGAAATACGGCATTACTTATGGCCATAAAAGGGATACAAGATTTGGATGACAATCGAGAACAAAACCTAGCAACATATGAAGATATGATTGAATTACTTTTAAAAGCTGGAAGCAACGCAAACGCTCCTGATAACAAAGGAATAACTCCAGTTTATTCTGCTGCAAAGCAAGGCCTTGAAAGAGTAGTTAAGTTAATTTTGGATTATTCCAAGGATCCTATTGATCTTGACAGTTATAAGGACATAAGGGGTCGCACTGCACGGTATTATTTAAATGATGCTTTTCCTCATCTTTTGGAAAAGTTTGACGCGTTAAGCAAACAAGAAGAAATAATTGATATTGATAAACTTTTTTCTTACCTCAGTAGACACGAAGAAGATAACTTTATACGTGATTACACAAAATTAGTAAAGAGAAGTGAACACCGTCCGGCAATTGCTGCAAATAACGGTATGTATACGATGCTACAATTAAGTACTGAAAAGGGATTCGAGAAAATTGTTGGACTTTTGCTTAATTCTGGGGCAGATCCTAATGCAACATGTTCTGGTAACATAACTCGACCAATAGCCATAGCGTGCCAAAACGGTTACTACAAAATTCTAAAAATGTTTATTGACAACGAATCTACTCTTTTCGATCCAGTCAATAATGAGTCTCTTTTGCAAATAACAATAAAAGGAATGAAATTGATCCCTAAGAGCCAGAAAGTAGACTTTAAAGGCTGCTTAGACTTGTTATTGAAAAACCCAAAAATTAATACTAATGTTAATTATTCTGATATAAAAAATAATACGGCTCTGCACTATGCCGCTAGAAATGGTGACAATGATACTGTATTAGAATTACTAAGAAGTGGGGCTTGCATTGGCCTGCGTAACAAATTTGACGAGCCACCACTGGCAGATATTAATTCGAAAACACTTGAAACATACTTAGATGAATGTATTACAAGTAACAGCGAACGACCGAGTGACGATGACTATGAGATTAATATAAAATACAGTTTTCTAGTGTATCCAAACAATTCTTTTGAAAACGAATTATGTCGAGTACCTTTAATGGATAATGAAAACAACAATATAAAAGAGTGTGATGCTCTTTTAGCACCTGAAACAGAAGCCCTTTTGTATATGACAAGGAATGAAGAATTGCGGCCACTGTTAAAACATCCAGTGATAACTAGTTTCCTATATTTAAAATGGCAACGAATAAGCTGTTTGTTTTATGCCAACATTACCTTTTATTCGCTATTATGGTTATCATTAATATTGTATATTATTTTAGGTTATGGTGTTGAAAGAGAACAATCAAAATCGATTGAGGCTTTAAATGTTGTAACACATGTAGGCGCTATAATTGGACTAATTCTTTTGATATTTCGCGAATTATTTCAGTTGCTAGTTTCACCGACAAGATATTTACAAAGCATTGAAAACTGGATGGAAATTGCTTTAATATTTGTTACTGCTTGGATTGTTGGATACGACTCTGCGACAGAGTCTACTAAACAGCAATTATCCGCAGTAGCTATTCTTTTATCTTCGGCTGAACTGGTTTTATTGATAGGTCAGTTTCCAACTTTATCGACAAACATCGTAATGCTCAAAACTGTATCTTGGAACTTTTTCAAATTCTTGGTTTGGTATTGTATTTTAATAATTGCGTTTGCATTAAGCTTTTACACTTTGTTCCGGAATGTGGCTGAAGACGAAGATCAAAGGCCTCCGAATCCAAACAAAACGGGAAAGCAGGAAGAGGACGACGAAGAAGATTTCTTTGAAGATCCCGCAAGATCTCTATTCAAGACTATTGTTATGTTGACGGGCGAGTTTGATGCAGGATCTATCAAATTCAGTACATTTCCAGTAACGAGCCATATAATATTCATAGTATTTGTTTTCATGGTTCCCATAGTATTGTTTAACTTGCTTAATGGTCTGGCAGTAAGTGACACACAAGAAATTAGGGCCGACGCAGAGTTAGTCGGTCATATCTCACGAGTTAAATTGATATCATATTTTGAAAGTGTACTCATTGGTAGAGCATATTCAAAATCTTCCAAAATCTGGTCATGGCTGCCACCATATCTTCAGGAGTTGCAAGTCATAACTCCAAAAATGTTGTGTATGAAACCGTTGGCGAAACGTATTAGTCTGTTCCCCTATTTTTTGCCTAAGTATCGGATAATCGTGAAGCCCAATCAAGGCAATACTATCATCATTCCCCATGCAGAACCATTAGGAAAATATGGCGATGATTATGAAGACATTGAGGGTGGAAAGTGTTGTTTTGAGCGCTGCCAGAACTATAGATTAGAAAGAAAAATCGTCAAGAATGCTAAGTTAGTTATAAGTAAAAAGACATACGTATCCGAATTTTCGGAAATAAGAGAAAAGTTATCGTTATATGAAACAAAAATAGATAACATTGAAAGTACATTAAAAAAGGTTCTTGATGCTCTCGAAATGCAGCGCAATTACTAAAAGTTTTATCTCTAAGATGTAATGTGATGTATTATGATTTTATATTTTATTTATAAAAAATATTTGTTATTTCCGTGACTGCCTTCCATTAGTATAAAATGTATACATATAACATTATGTATTAATTAACAATTAAGAAATTAAAATATGTATCAAAACGAAAGTTTTTATGCTTACTTAGCATACTCTCTAATACAATACATTAAATAATAAAACAAAATTCAATACAATATTATTTTTTTATTTAAGTTAGATAGAGCTTTCATAAAGAATCAGTACCTATCAGTTAATAAGTACAAAAGTAGGATCCTGTAGGTAATAAATTATTATGGCGCGTCTCCACCAAAGTTTTGTTGTCAACACGTGTTGCCGACAAATGTTTCTCTAATCACCTAGTTTTAGCAACAAAACGAAACAATGTCGGGAATCGTGTTTCCATTTTCGGCGGCAACATCAAAGGAATACGCTTGTTGCCGACATTTGTTCCCTCGGTGGTGGCGCTTCTTGCAACATTTTGAAACATTTTCGAAAACAAATGTCGTCAACTTTTGTTGATTTGTCAACAGTTGGAAACATAAATGTTGTCAACATTTTTGGTGGAGACGCGCATTTATATATTACTTATCTTTATATATAAGTACGAGGGTGGATTGAAAAATACTCGGCCTAACACAGATCCATTCAATTCTAAAAATCAAATCTACCCACATTATTTAGTTCAGTTCAGACTAGTTCATTGTGTGAAGTTCGAAACGTGTGCGATAATTAGTTGTGATTTTATAAATTTATTAACAAAGTAATCGGACATAATTTCCGCGAATGGAGCAAATCGAGCAGCGTGCCGTCATTATGTACCTCTATAAGAAGGGGCTATCATCAAAAGCCATCCATGATGACATGGTCAGTACATTAGGCGATTGTGCTCTGTCATATTCATCCGTCAAAAAATGGATAGCAGAATTTAAGCGTGGTAGAGAGAGTGTGAAAGATGAACCCCGCTCTGGAAGGCCTTCGACGTCAACTACTGACGAAAAAAAAATAAAAAAATAAATAAAAAAGTACTTGATTTATTAATGGGAGACCGCAGATTAAAAATTAGAGAGATAGCCGAGATTATAGGCATCTCTTATGAACGAACTCAAAACATCATTGTCAACGAGTTGGGTTTCCACAAGGTGTCTGCGAGGTGGGTTCCGCGACTGCTTTCAGTTGAACAAAAAAGGACGCGATTGACTATTTCACGCGACTATTTGGAGTTATTTGAAGCCGATGCAGATGATTTTTTGAATCGTTTTGTTACTATGGACGAAACATGGGTTCATTACTGTACATCGGAAACAAAACAACAATCAAAACAGTGGAGAAGACCTGGTTCACCACCCCCTAAAAAGGCTAAGTCGATTTTGTCGGCAAATAAGGTGATGGCTTCAGTATTCTGGGACTCGAAAGGTGTGATTATGATTGAATATCTTGAAAGGGGTCAGAATATAAACTCTGATTACTACTGCACCTTACTACGTCGTTTACAAGAGGAAATAAAAGAAAAACGTCGAGGAATGCTCAGAAGAAAAGTCCTGTTTCATCAAGATAACGCCCGTGTTCACACGTCAGTACAGTCAATGGCTGAAATTCACAACTGTGGCTTTGAACTGTTACCGCATCCGCCGTATTCACCTGATCTGGCACCATCAGACTTCTTTCTGTTCCCTAACCTAAAAAAGCACTTGGGAGGTCAAAGATTTTCGACAAACGACGAGGTCAAAGCAGCTGTAGACGCATATTTTGACTCTATGGAAGAATCATTTTTTTTAAACGGTCTAATTGCTTGGAAGGGGAGGTGGCAAAAGGGTATTGAACTTGATGGTGATTATGTAGAAAAATAAAAATATAACTGATTTAGTATTTGTTTATTTTCTTGGTTAGGCCGAGTACTTTTCAATCCACCCTCGTATAATTCTTCAGTCCGTGTGTATATGACTAAAGTCCTCCTATACAGCTGGACCGATTTTGATGAAATGTTGTGTATGAATATATTGATTCGAGAATGGTTTAGATTCACAATTGATCCGGTAGGTGGCGCTGTTGTCGAGATTTAGAAATCACCCGTGCGACGCCGGGGCGGATCGCTAGTATTTTATAAACTTAATACTTAGGAACGTGTAAAGTTATATTTGTTTATTGAGAAGAAAGGTTAAATTAAGAAATTTTTACTATAATCTAGTTGACGATGATGACGGACAAGGAGTGAGGAGTGCAGATTTGCGTGACATAGATAATGACAAATAACAGTAATCCCACAAGTTCTCTCTTTTCGTCAGCCCGTAAAAGTTCACTACTGGGCTGTTGCTCTGGTTGGTTGCAGAGAATGTTTGCCGTAATCGCCACGCCGCCTGGCAGACATATTGGCGACCGCAATACTAGACGTCCTGAACTTTAGACGCTTCTTACCGTCACCAGCCTGGGCCATCTGTTGGAAGCCATGAGATCTTACTGGCATTCAGTAAAGTTGCCGCCGACTATATGAAATGTTTTAACGTAGAAATCTATACACAAATTTGTTTATTGGTAGTGACCAATGTTGCAATATAGATAAATTATTTGATTCCAAATATTTAAGTTTTTTATAGATTTCATTAATTATACCAAAAACGGGAATGTGCCTAAGTTTGACTAGTGCGATCCAAATGACCACTGTTGCGCCAATAGTTGATCACTGAAAACTTATCACGAAAAGGTAGCTAATTGAAAATAAAACACAATTTTGTTACACAAATTGATTTTCATATGATGACTGAAAGTTTATCTAGACTTACAACCAATTTTTAATGGCACAGTCGAAGGTAGGTAGTAGGTAATTAGAAGACAAACATGTAAATTAGAATATTAACATTAACAACGCTTATTAGCAAACTACAATAGAAAAATAGCTATGCTCATAAATTATCAGTATCATCTATCACAGTAAAATACTTAGAATTAAATAAATCAGTCTCATCATATTGAGGTAGGCGAATTTGACAAAATCTTATCTAGAAATCGTAAAATTACCAAAAGAACTAGAAAGCTTTATCTTATATCCATTCCAAAAATTTGGCCATGTCTTCAACCTTGTAGGAACCTCTGGTATTTAAAGTAACAGGTGCTTTTATAACTTCAATGATGCTGTCACGGTTTAACAATATATCTTTTTCAAGCCATTTGAAAATGGTCGCAGGTGATAACACGATAGTACTGATTTCAGCGTTACATCCATCAATGTTTTTGATTTTCCTAGGAAAATAGTTGTTTAGGTGCTTGGCTACCTTTGGCTTTTGGCGGTGTTGCTTCATATTTTTTTTACGTGGAGCCCAGTTGCAGCTATATTAGTAGTATAGTTGTAGCACGAATGGGTCGGCTCGACTGGGAAGGATCACGCTCTCACAGAATACCAGCGTAAAATATCAGCTCAACGCTTCTGTTTCGTATGGTAAGTATAGAGAACCGGAGATCCTTTTTACTAGAAACGAGGCATTCCAACTTAGTCCTCACGGTTGACAACACATTTGCATTTTGATACGTAATTGAGGATAGATATCGATGTCTATGGGCCACAAAAACAACTTACAATCAGTTGGACTCTGTGCTCGTTTGTCACCCTTATTCTATAAAAAAATCCTGTGGGGGTAGGGTAACTTCCTTTTCTTCTGGCTGTTGGATTAATAGTCCAGATTCAAAGGCAGTTAAAGATGTTCTCTCTTATTATTTGGCTAACTGTTTCCAAAAAATAATCCTTTTTAGCGTTAGGGTTAATCCACCTAGTAACCTAGTTAACAGAAACTTTTCTTGTAGGGTCACGATAGTTGGTAGTCCCATTATTCGTTGAGAATGTCTCATTTTCAGTTTGTTTATAACAGTCGGGTGAGGGATATGATATTTTCACATGTTGGCCTTATTTTAGCGCCTTTATCAATTTCATCGCGACACTTCAGCAGATTTAGCTCTATATTAAAAAAAATGTCTTTTTGGATCTATCTTCAACACAAAACAACGAGAAAAAGTTAAAACTCTAATCTGGTGGTCATCCATAGGATCACTTTTTTACTACTGTGTAGCAAACCTGTGGTCAACAACTGAGGCACACCGCATAAAACGATTTTAATAATTGGCTTTATGGTCTAAATTGTCAAACAAAAGCATTGCTATGATAAAAAAGAACAAAAAAAGAAACACCATAGGCAACCAATTGCAAACCAGTTGGTTAACAATAGGAACCCAGTACAAGGTGTGTTCCAGTAGTTAACCACCTCTAAAAGTACTTGATAATATCATTATTTAATAAAATTAACAACGCATAGCACTTAAATAAACACATTTTTTTTAATTATACAACTTGATTACAGCAACATGCACAATATATACAAAAGCATTTCATTTCTTAAGTAGTCCAATTTTATTCCAAATATTAATATTTTAAACACAGTAAGGTTCAGAACCGTTACCGTCACCGTTACAGCCTATATAGTCCACTGCTGAACATAGGCCTCCCAATAAAATTGCTTCATATGGGGTAAGAGGGGGATATTTGCTATAGTTGGTAAACGGTGGGCAACCATAGTTTTTTTTAATTTTATTTGTTATTAGGAAGACGCTGCTGCAAATCTCCTGACTTGTTTCCCTCTGTCGCCTCTTACGACACCCACGGGATGATATTATGGGGTAGTGAATATACACAGTTTAAGTTCAAAACAATATGCATTAAATTTAAAAACAGTAAAATGAAGTATTTTTGTGTTCGATCGAAACCTCTTACTAGTAATTTGTGATCGAAAACGAAACGTTCACGAGTCGCGATCGACCAAAGAGTGCAGTATTCATCGACAACCGACAGAATCACAAACTAATTATAGGACAGAATCGAGCGGGTCTCACAGATTACAGAGTACTGAAACCCGAAATCATCCATTTGAATGATCGACCCGAATGACCCGGTCGGCTCATGAACTGGAACAGGAAATGAACGA